CCCCAAAACCCCAAAACCCCAAAACCCCAAAACCCCAAAAGACATCCCTTCTATTGAATAATTTATAATCAATGAGCTACAGAGAACCTTATGAGCATAATACTGGAGAAGAAGAGGCTACAGAGACAGATACGCTTAGCAAAGTTACCTATAATGACTACAATACCTATAATAGTAGGACTTCGGCTGAAAGCGAAGACCAAATGGATCAACCAGAAGATGACTCAGAAGACATAATTAACTCTTCCCTGAACAAAGTGAAGACTTATAGATGGTTCTTCTTTTTAGGGATAATTCCAATAATCCTCTCCTTCGCTTTCAGTGACCTTATTGTAGATAGTTTGAACTTTTTAGAACTCATGCCACTTGGATTAGAATGAAAAACTTCTAAAATGAGCTCTAATGGTGAAGTACTGTGGGTTTCTTGATCAATCAACCGTATATGCAACCAGAAGCATGGTGACAACATCATACGTGATGATAGAGGGATTGCTGTCTCTCGCAAGGCTCAAGGAGACTATTACTCTCTCCAAAATTGGGTTGAAAACATGGAAATTCAGTGAAAAAGTAATTTTCAAGTTGGTGCCATTGGATCAGCTGCTTTTGTTGGAATGACAATTGGCTCAATCCTTGGAGCTGGTCTCTCTGCTAAGTATGGCAGAAAGTTGATTTATATTGGAGGACTCATACTTACCAGTTTGTCTCTGATTATCGTCACAGCTATTCCTACATACTACACAGGAATCTTTGCACTTTTGGTGTACGGAATTGGAGTATTCCCCAGGATGACAATAGGCTATGTTTATGCTCTCGAAATCACTCCAGAAAGGGCAACAAGAACTCTTGGGATGCTGATGTTTGTAGGAGAGTGTACTACTATTATATTCTCTAACCTCTACTTGGTGCTTGGAGGTAGAAATGCTCTCTTTTTTGTCTGGATTTCCTTAGCTTTTTCAGTTTCTCCTTTAATTTTCACTATAATTCTTCCTGAGAGCCCAAAATATCTTCACTCTGTGAAAAATTATGAAGGAGCTAAGAAGAGTTTACAGAAAATAGCAGCATTGAACGGTCAAAAAGGAGAGGATTTCAGCGACTACAACCCTCGGAAACGAACATCCATGTCTCATACTGGCGAAGTGGATGAAAAAGTTGCTTTATTCGGCTTCCTAGATCTGTGGAGAGACAAGACCTCTCTTAAGAACACAATCGCCATGGCATATCTTTGGGGTTTCTATACATTTGGTCATCACTGATTAATATTCATGGAGAAGTACTTCCCAGGGGACAAGTACATGAATGGACTAATGATAGCTATTGCTGTAACTATAGCTCCCTTGCTTACAAGGGTTATCCAAGTGTATATGTCAAGCAAGAGCATATATGTTCTGTTCTCATGACTATCAATCTTGTTTAGTGCTCTACATATGATGGCATTCTCCAACGACTCGATTCCAGCCCTTGTGATGGTAGTCCTGGTTGCTATTTGCATTGATGCAATCGGATTTACCAATTATTACGTGGAATTTGAATATTTTAACCCAAAAATTGCCACTCTTGCCTATGGAATCTGATCCCTAGTCGGAAGAGGCTCTGCAATATTTGCTCCATTAGTGGTAGAAGAACTAGATGACACAATGTTCATCTTTTTCTTCATGTCTATTGTAGCCCTATTAAGCATTGTATTCATCGAAAAACCAGCTGTCACAGAATTTAAGAACGAGAACCAAGATGATGAGAAGAAAAATAAGGAAATAGACTGGTAAAAAAGTAATAACCTAAACTGTGTTATAAAACCTAAATTTATAAATTTAAAGTCTCATTTCAATATTTTAAATTTTTTTAGGGGTTTTGGGGTTTTGGGGTTTTGGGGTTTTGGGGTTTTGGGG